TCATAGTTTTTATTCAATAGCCTCCATTTCGTTAAAAGTGTAGACACGAGAAGACTGCTCCTACTAAGTACTACTGCTGATACTGCCACGTATTTATGATACCTACTACTTTTCCATAGTTTAAATACTTAATCAATATTAAACAAGTAAATGCTTACTGCCACAATCCGTTCTCCTTATCATTTTTACTAAAATAATATAAAACAAAGGATAATTTAAACTATTCTACTAAACAAATAAACAAATGATTCCACGCCTCCTTTACGATGCAGAGCTAAACCTTTTATAAAACATTGAAATGATCGAATAATGTTCTATCTGCTCGTATACATTTGTTTATCCCATAGATTCGTTGAACCTAAACTATTAAAGATTCCATAAATATTTCAAAAGTAATTCGCGGCTGGCGCCATTCATTTAATATCCGGTTTAATGAAATTTGCTTTTACGAATGTTATTTTCTCGTATTGTCGCTTTATTAAATTCTTTGTGCCATTTTTTTTTACTTATTTACTGTAGATTTATTTACTTAGTATTACAGATTGGTCAAAAAATCAACTTATAATGTTCTTTATGTGGCTTCCAATATACATTCGCAGAAATATCCATATTTTTCGTGTATATTACTATTTGAAAGATGGTCTTTCCGTTCTACTGTCAATCTTTTTCTTTCATACCTATGCAAAAGTATTTTCATACCCTTCCTCCTTCAGAAAATTCTTTACTGACATTATTTTACACTTGTGAAACCCCTTTATAAAAAGCTAAAATTAAATAAATATAAACTTAAAATATGTTTATTTCATTTTTACACTTCTAAATAAATCATTCCGTACACCTGATTACCTTACTCTGATTACATCACTTCTCTACATAATTATGCTGAAAAAAACATTGTCAGTGCGATATAATAATGAGGGCATCCACAACTTTTACTGCCACCAGGGCAGCGTCACGTAAACATGAGGTGTAATATTTGACAGATTTCATAGCTTTTTGCTCAACATTTCTAAGTGCACTCCCCACTGGGGCCCTTAGTATCTGTGAATAGTGCTAAGGCCGGACGTCAGTGGGACGTGCCAGTGATGCGCGTTACTGCAAAGCAGGTTAAAGAGGCGCTAAAGTAAGTAGTAAGAGGCTTAAAACAATGACCAGCGGCAAGTCATGACGGTATTAGTGTAGAACATCTGCTGGCTGCTGCTGCCCCTGTTCTTCTCAATGTGCATAAGTCACTCCTATTTACCACGTGATAAAGACCATCGTCGTGCCCATTGTTTAAGGACAGGACCGGTGACATCTCGAGCAGGGGAACTACCGCCCTATATCACTTGCAACAACAATTGCTAAGGTGTTGGACAGTGTGTTTGACTCGGAATCAGATAAATATGCAAACATACATGACGCGAAGTTCGGGTTCCGACCTGGATTTTCTACTGAAAGCACAATCCTGAGCCTAAAGCACACTGTCCAATACTTCACAGATCGCAAGACGCTGGTGTACGTCTGTTTCCTTGATCTCTCCAAGGCCTTTGACCTTGTGTCCTATGAGGTTCTTTGGGAAAAGTTGATGGGAAGGGGTGTAACGGCTGAATTGCTGAAAATGTTTAGGTTTTGGTATTCCGACCAAACCAACTTTGTAAAGTGGGCTGATTCTCTGTCGGAAGGATACGTGTTGGAGTGCGGGGTGCGACAGGGGGGTTTGACGTCTCCCAAGCTCTTCAACATGTATGTAAATGACTTTATCGTGGAGTTGAGCAGCATGCGCGTCGGATGTCGCATAGATGGCGTTAGCATTAATAATATAAATTACGCTGACGATATGGTGCTGCTCAGCCCTACGGTGGGAGGCCTAAGAGAAATGTTAAATGTATGTGAGATGTATGCTACTGAGCATGGGCTCACATACAATGTCAAAAAAAAACAGAGTAAATGGTCTTTGAGACCGCTTGGTAAATGTCACAATATTGCAAATAATTTTACCCTTAATGGCATGAACGTGAAACGTGTCACTAAATTTAAATATCTACTAAGTACATATTATTACTGGTGACCTCAAAGATGATGCTGACATTGAAAGGGAGCGCAGGGCTCTAGCGGTTAGAGGTAATATGTTGGCTCGCAGGTTTTTCCGTTGTACAAAACAAGTTAAGGTTACGCTTTTTAAGCATTGTCCCAGAGCTTACAGGTACACGGGGAGCCTGTGGGTTAAATACACCAAAAGATCGCTTAAGCTCTGCGAAACCAACACAATAATATATTCAGGATGCTGTTGGGACTGCTTCGCTGTTGCAGTGCATCAGGTTTGCGGCATACCAAACAGATGGGTTTAATGCCATTATACGCAAAAAAAAACCGCATCCCTTATTAACAGGGTACGAGCCAGTCACAACAGCATTCTGAGGACCGTAGCGGACAGATATACTTCGCCGCTGTGGAAATGTCTAGTGCAGAGTCTGATCACTGAGCCCTATCCACCACCGTGATGATCTGTCTTGAAACAAGGTATTACTTTTTCCCTCGAATTAAGCAAACCATGTTTTACTAACCCTTGATATTATTTTTTATTATTGTTTGTGTACTACTAAACCACATATGGATTTTAAATTATCTGAAATAAACAATTTTTGTTTATTATTTTATAGACATTAATAAAGGTAGAAAAAAAATAGTGAACAATATGCAAAAAATTTATGAGTAAACCACTGAGGCATTGTTTTGTGTATTAATATAATAAATACTCTAGTATCTGATAAACCTATATTTCAAACCAGCTTCTCAATTAAATTACATTATAATATAAATTATAATTACATATATACATTATAAATTACATATACATATACATTATAAATTACATTATAATATATTTGTTTTTTGTTATAATATAATACATTATTATATTATAACAAAAAAACTTTATCTCAGTTTCTGCCAGCTACATCTGGTGAGCACAAGATTATTAGCCCTCAATAATGACTAATAATGATGATTTTTCTACAATAATGATTGTGTTAATTATTCAATTAATTATGGCAAAAAAACCCTTTTATTTGAGGGAGCACAGCTGTTAAATAAACTACCAGATGACATAAAAAATTGCAATAACATGAAATTGTTTAAAAGTAAGCTTAGGAAATGCGTACGTGCAGTGTAATCTTTTTTGAATATGTGGTATGTCATATGTATATCTCATAGTAAATAAGCTTATACTATAACACTTCCAGCACTAGAGGTAGATGTGATAGTTTTACTTTAGTAAAATAAATTACTTTGTATCTCATTATAAGTGAACCATTGTATGTTCTTATGAGAAATAAATTTCTTTAAACCGAATTATTATTCCATTAAAAAGTCTTCAGGGCTTCATTGTAATGGAATAATTATTCCACTATAATATTAATGTTTGCTCTGAGATCCTCCTTCCAACAGGAGAGGCCTTTAGCAGTAGAGGACTCTTACGGCCCGATAGGGAATTAAATATTGAAATGTAGTTCGGGGAAAATGCTTCTTCGTATTTTGTATACAAATTCAAGACATTTTTTTTTTCAAAGTTTAATTACATTTATTTTTAATATATGTATGCCATTTTGTTCGATAACATTTTGCCCTCGCGTGACATAATTCAGTTGTTGTAGAAATCTTGGGATTTTTGATCAAAACATTGCGACAAACATAGAGTTAATAAACTACTGAGCATGGACCGGGTCATTGAACAAACAAAATGGCACCGACTTCTAAGTGCGAAAATATTTCAGGAGCACCAACGCGAGCACCAATGCGTGCCGTGCGTCCGTGCAGTGTTTCTACGTTTAGATATTTTGCACTGTTTTAGGGTTAATCTACTAATAGGGCTTTAGGCGTTTTTTCAAGTTGACAGGGTTTTATATAAATTGGGATAAAACCGAATTTCAGGTAACCTTGGTTTTTATACCCAATGTATTTTTTTTAAAGACTTATCGAAATGATTTAGGGTCAAAAGAGCTAGAAAAGTGTAGAATAAAAAAAGTTTTTTATTCTGTATATCGGAATAATGGTATAATATTTTACTTAGATATTCGTTATTCGTATGATACTAAGTGTTATTACGAACATTATAGCGAGCTGCATCTTTGACTTCAAAATTCTTGGACTGAAAACGCTTGAACCAATTTTGTGCTACTCTTACTGACACTTCATTAGGTCCATAAACGTCACAATTTTTATAACGCATTTTTCCCTCTTTAATTTCAGAATGTATCGAATTTCTTCGTTAGATTCACTCATTTTGGTGGACTGAAAAACAATCGAAAAATGATTTCCTATTACGATTGTTGATAATTTTTTTTCCTTCATGTCCTATATGCATTGATATTAAAACTAGCCAGATACCAACAGAATACAGGCAAAGAGATTTTTCTTCAATTTTATACAAACAAACTACGAAGAATTTTTTGCCCGACCTGTTAATATATCTATAGTTGAATATAATATATCGAGAATTGATATAAATATATCATATATTGATTAATTTAATGGTAAATGTAATATTGATGATACTCTCTTCTCGTTTTAATCTGTGATGTAATTTGTCGGATTTACTAGAATTTCTTGAATGTTCATATTAAAGAAGCAAGTAACTCCTTGAACCAATCTCTCCTGTAAAATATTACTTATATACCTTTGAAGTGAAAAATATATAAGAATAATTTAGTGATACGAATCCTTATGTAGTTGAGCCATTCTTTAAGATTAAGATCTATAGCTGTGTAATACGTAAATATTTCGAATTCATTGTTGAATGACGGCAGTGCTAGAAAACAAGAATAAGTCAGTTTAATGGTAAACGTAAAAACATTGTTTTGGCTCTAAAGGGGTAGTATTACACGACATGGAAATTTTTCTCTTGTGATATTGAATTTTCAGGTGGGGGAAGGGCACTCGGGACTCTCTTCCTAGCTACTCTCGTGAGCATTTGGTATTAAATGTTTGTGGTATTAAATTATTATTAGTAATATCAAAATATGCATACTTATTCAAATAAATATCCCGTTTCACAAGTTGTTATCATAATCAGCCGCAGTATATTGCTGGTCAGTGACCTTTTCAAAGAAACACCATTGTGCTATGTACCATAATTTGTAGTTTAACTTTATCATCTAGTTGTGTGGTTGTTACTAGCCAGTAAGTTCCGCTTTATTTCAAACAAACTACAACCTGTTCTGTAGGACGTGGCGTGGGCATTCCAATAGTAGTGACATCTATGATATAATACCAGTTCTTTCCCACTTTAGTTTACAAACACGGAAAGCTAGACCGGTGACTGATACTGAAAAGATTTTTCCGTACGCGATATCCTATACCTTTAAACGAACAATTCTTATATATATATATATATGATCGGAATCTCGGAAACGGCTCCAACGATTTTCATAAAATTTAGTGTCCAGGGAGTTTCGGGGGCAATAAATTTTATCTAGCTCGGATTTATTTTTAGAAATGTCTTTTTGTCCGTGTTTTCAGGTAATGAAAAACTGCTACATTAAAAGAAGGTAAGTTTTAACATGGTGTAAATGATCGTAATAACTCAAGTGGATATCGAGCGGTCGCGAAATCGTAATGCCTTGGTTCGCGTCCTGTCTTCGGTCCCACTTTTTTCCTTTTTTTTTTCAAGTTCCCTTCTTTTGTGAGAAAATCTATTATTTCGAGCCCTTTTTTTAGTATTTTTTAAAAATACGAAAATTTTAATTAAAACCGAGCAAAGCTCGGTCATTCAGGTACTACATATTTATCAGAGAACAGAAACATATTTGTCAGAGAACTTTATTACATATTTTATATATTGTTCAGTGAACGATTTTTGGCGCTTATGTATAATCATCTCTTATCAAATGTTTTCACTAACTGCTTGAGTAATACACTGCCGTGATCAATCACCATCTTGAGAAAGACAGAAACGGCTATATATTTTTATTTATAATAATGCGTTAGCCCTTTGCGAGCAATTAATTGTTATATTTAGAGGCTCGTACTGTATCGGCCGCGGTCCCCCCATGCGCGAGCGCGCGGCCGCGGCCGACGCATCCCCGCTACTACCGCTATAAAAGACGTCGCCCAAACCAGCTTCGCGCTATTACGACAGTGCCTCTGTGATTTTTCCCGCCGTTGTATTTATTTTATTCCTCACTACAAGGTAAGTACACATTAAATTAGGGGGTTTACTGGGTGATGTATGGGGAAGAAAATCGCCAATTTACGTCGCAGTATAATTTAATTTAACATAATACATGCAGATGAGTAGTTCTTAAAATCAAAACAAAACTACGATATTTTACTACCGAATCATCCTTTTACAAGCTTATAATATATAAGTTGTTTTGTACTTAGATATTATGAAAAAAATGTGTTACAAACATTTTCTTTGAATTACGAATCCAAGAAAACTATCGTCAAAATAGTATCTATAATATGTGTATTGCAAGGTCTGATCAGAATTTTTAATACTTAATTCTTTTTTTTTTTCTTTATATTTAGCGTGATAAAATTTTAAATATTTTTGATGTTGCTTCTAGTTAATAAACAGACCACTCAATAATCCTCCTTTATCGCTCGTGTTACACCGGTAATGACAAAGATTACTTAGACCAACCACTGTTAGCTCCAAGTGTCCTTACGATTTGCACATTTTATTCAAAGTGACGGCTGCGGATTACGACGAGCATCGTATGTGTGTCAAGCTTTAGTTGCAACACAGTCGAGCAATGTTGAGATTATCGCTGAGAGCCCTTTTCTATGGGACCATTCCATTGTGTGAATATAGTTGATGGGTGCAACGTGACGTGGTTTATTCGGACTTCTCGTTTTAAATTATGATACAACTATCTTAGGTTTATAAAGTATGAAGAATGCATCTAGAAATGAGGGAAAATCTGTGGTCAACAGTGGCACTTATATCTATAGGTTTTTCTGTTTGTGTCCGATAACTATAAAAAAAGCCATGTGAAATAATTAACGTCCGATCGAAGCTTCGGCTTCGACCAAAATGGGCCTAAGTTTTGCCCAGACCAAGTGCCGAAATTGAACGAACTGTTACAAATGAACGCAATTTTTGTCGTCTCTAGATCATCTTCTAGACACGATTATACCTACTGAGACCTATTTATATTATACAGATTGATTATAGCTAGCTGATGATTATTAGATAGCTGATTATTAGATAACTGAATATTAGCCGATTAATCGGCTACGGTTTCGTTCATAAATCGAAAAAAAATCGACTTTCAGTCGGACACTAGAAATAATAGATATATAATTCTTAAGCTCTCACGCCTATCACCCAAAGGGGGATGCAGAAATTATGGACTTCTATTTGCCACCGTTCTGACACACCTCTCTCGCTTCTTTCGCATCCGTATACCTACACATATTTGCTTATCGTTTAATGGTACTAATTACAGACTGAGACATTCCATCTTAGTCCTTAGATGTAACGACGCACCTATAGCCTCCTTTGTTCGAAGTTCGCTACAGGTACCTATGGACTGCACTAGCTTCTCACAATCAAGTGGACTGTAAATAAGATTGTCACTTTCATTTCATAAAACAAATTGTTCGGTAAACATAACTTCGTTGGCTTCGCGAATAATATATAAATTTTAACATACAATGAGATTCTTAAAAATAAAGACAATCTTATATAAGTAGTTTCAATAAATTATATACGCGTGGAAATAGTTTAAGTACTCGATTACGTCGCATGTTCTGGCTTTGAATCCCATCCGGAGCCAACATTTGTGCAAAAATATAAATACAGCTGTAGCTCGTTTAAAAACTGCCCACTAGTGTACCTCGTTGTGATAATTCTTATCACAGAAGCGTCACAACGGGCATTAGTTGAACGGTCGAAACGAGTGAGAGTATTTGTATGCGCGTACACTTGTGCCACAATGTTATATTCTGTGACTATTCGGAAGCTGTCTTCGTAGCCGAAAATTTGTCAAGTGATATGGACGTAGTTACACAAAATATTCAAACCACACTAGATCTAAAAAATACATGTTAAAATATTCCTAAGTGCTCATATTTTGATAAAGTAAAAACAATTCAGCAAAGCAAGTATAAAAATTAAAATTATAAACAAATCTTAGCAAGTTATTATGATTGAATGTATCGATACCAATTACCAACTTTAATATCTCAAAAGAAGTTTTCTGGGTTGGACATTTTAGTACCTATAACAACACTCATATACCGAATAAATAATGGCGATACTTAAAAGAATGAATCTAAATTCAAATTAGAGGTTTCAAAAAAAATGACTAATGGTTATTAAAATAACAAGTAAGCGACTACAAAGTCCCAAAACATCGACTAAATCACGCTAATTATATTTCCTATTTATTTAAAAGGAGCAGCGTAATGTAATTTTAGCGCCCTTATTTCTGTTTGAGACATTGTGTCTGGCATTATATTCTATTATTTGGCTAATCCATCTCATTATAAGAATAAATCGAAACCAAAAACCAGACCTAGAAAAGTCTTGCTGACCACATTAATACTCGTATGTAGATAAAATTAGCCTAATGTCGTCTTTTTTCATATTACATTATGTTTGCTTCTTTGTTGGATCCCCCAGGCGCACCTTAACCTATTGGCAATAATTATTTTTAGTTTTTCTCGTTGCTATTTTAATCGCTCATTTATTATTTATTTATATCACTCTACTAAAATTTTAATACGCATACAAATTGTTTGCAACTCTTTGTAGCCCATTTTAAACTTTTTATGGATCCACATTAGTGGACAGTTCAGTAAATTTTTCTAAAAATAATATGCAGCACAAGTCAGTATTAAAGATTATCGTAAACATAACCGTATCAGTTTGCAAAATTTTTTCCGCTCGTTTTATAATTTATCATAAATGATTATTCATCAGTTTAATCCTCTTGCAAATTGCGGTGATTATAGCAAATTCTCTTTCCAATGGATGACTCCCATGTTTGTAAGTAGATAGTTTTACAAATTGATTATGAAAATATTTTTTATTGTTAGTAAACAATTTCTTATTAACAATTAATCAAATTATAATATTCAAATGACATGCAGAAAATTTTTATATGTTTCAAAACTTAACATTGTGAAGGTCAGCGCCGGACGAAAGATGGAGACTTTCAAATATTTGATGTGACATAAAAGTATGAGTTAAGTAGGATTTAAAGTTGTTGAATTTAGAACTTGTTCTTGGAGTGGAATGGTAATATTAATTAGCCTTCACCCCGAAGTGTCACGTGTCAATATAATTATAACAATTAATTTTTGGTGATATTACATATGTTACTATGATGTTTATAAAGAAGAGAGTGCAAATATTCCAAAAAAGCTACTTTACTTCATTGTTTAAGATTATCTTCGCGTAGTCGTGTAATGTTACATTACGTGATAGAACATTAACTGTAAAAGATATTAAAGTTGAAGTTAAAGCTTTACGTCATAATACTGCTGTGCCCAGATTGGGACGTTCCGTTCGTTTCATTTATTTTTATCAATCTCCTTTTGAAATAATGCCTGGTGGTTTTATTCAACAATGTCTTGTTATTTTAAGATAATTTAAATCGTAAAAAGAATTAAATGAATTTAAAGAACTGCTAAGTACTTCAACTTCGTATGGAAATTATTATTCGTGTCTATGAACAATTATTCTCAAACATTTGTACTTTACTTTGAACATTGTATTTTACTGTCTCAAATGTATCCAAAAATTGTTATAGACTTATTAGTGACACATAAGTCCATAAATTTTAAGACGCGTTAGAATTACAAACTGTTGTTAGTGTCTGACAAGCGCTTGCATCAACAGCTGTCGTCCCATCGGCGCATTATGTATCTGTGCCAAGTGCCAACGGCACCGCGACGGTAATCCCTAGGAGGAAGTTGCTTACAAATTCTGTAGGCTTAGTTTGGTTATCAAGAAGTTGCCACAAAGAGAAATTTAGGCAAATATATTGACGGCCCCGTTGTGCAGTGGCTTAGTAATGACTAAGAGCCGCGGGTTCGAATCCCGCACAGAACAGGTATTTGTATGGCCTGCAAATAATTGTTACGGGTATGGATGTTAGTTCTTGTGAAACTTGTATTTGTAAATTGCCTCTACGATACAGGAGAAAATCCTATGGGGGTATGGTATTTAAAAAAAATATAATCCTTAAAGAAGTTTTAAATAATACCTGATAATTACAATAGGAACTATTTTCATACTCCATAATTTTTTAAACATAATATCATTTTATATGTTTGTACAGTATGGTTACCATGGCTATCCAAGTACAGAACTAGAGTACGAAACCTATTCAACTCATTCAATGCAGTGAGGTGTAAGATATTATATATGTTTCTTCTACTAAACTCTTCACAGCTGCATTGGAGTACGTTTTCAAGCTACTGTGACTGAAAAAAGCTCGGAATTAATTGCCTTCGTTATACTAATTTATGATAGAATCGTTAGATTTAAGCACTATGCTCAATGATCTTAACAGTGTCTTCCAACGAATAGTAATAAACTGTATTATTTCGCTGCAGCATGAATGTAATCTTTCTATCTATATATATAAATAAAATTAAAGTGTCTGTCTCTTATATCGCAAACTGCTATATTGAGCTGATATGTTGATTGCTTTGGTGGCTATTTGCATGCCATTGAGTCACAAATAACCATTTTTTAAATTTTTTTCTGTCTGCCTGTCCACGCTAATCCTCAGAGTGACTGAACCAAATGTAATGAAACTTCGTGAACAGATATGGATCAGGAGTAATCTAGGCTACATTTTATCCGAAAACTTAAAGATTTGTTTAAAAAAAGGGGAAAAATTGATATAATGGGTGCGTTTGACAGAAAAAAGCGCTAGCAAGCGCAAAATGGCGATCGTAAGCGGTAAGCGCTATCAAATCGTAAGTAGCTATTTTCCTCCAGAACACGATGTTAGTTTTAACCGGAGAACCTAACCTAATTTAAATATATGTTTGTAAAGTATTAATAATAAAAACTTATCAATCATGAATTTTTAATAACATGTATATGTTTATTCATGTCAATTTAAAACTAATATTGCACAAAACAACTTATAAACTCTCAAAACAAACAAATTAATATAAGCAAAATGGCGGATTGTGTCAGCGCTACTGAAGTAGCAATCGTGT